AGACCTCAATGACAGAAGCCCCAAGTGCTTCTACTTAAATTATCTCATCCAGCCTGAGTAAGGATTGTGATTGGATTGTAAATGAACATCACATGAGGCTTTATTGATATTATTGATAAAATGAAGTCTGTTTTCCTCAGAATGATGGCTGTATGGCCAACAGTAATGGCAGGACTGAGATATTCATTCCTGATGGTGTTGTCTTTAAGCCCCCTTTAAAGTAGAAGAAAGCAAGGCAGAACCAGGTGCCAACACAACAGCTCAAAACAATAGTTACCACAAGGCAAAAACTAATTCAGTTCCGAGAGTCAATAGTAAGGGGCGACACTCTAGCTCACATTTCCCAAGTACTGAGGTGGCACCCAGAAAAAACATGAGGTGTTGCTCTCAAGTCAACACTGTAGCAAGAAGAAGCACATTGACAAGAAAGAACAACCACGTGTGATTTATCATGACAATTACGTTGTGGTTACTATCAAGTTGCTGTGCAAAGAGCTGTTATTTTTGGCAAATAAATTGGAAGCTGCGTTCATCAGGTGGTGTATATTCATCTCTGTCTGAAGATGGGGGTGTATGGGGACTGAAATGGAACAAAACATCAAAAGAATCTATGTGTATACAATCTTAAAAAAATATACCAAATCAAGTGCAGACTGGTATCTGTAATGATGGGCATCTTAGAAAGATTCACAAAAGGATCAATCATTTATCATTTTTGTCTGAGGATGGTTGGAAATACTTCAGCCAACTTTAGTGCATTCATTTTCTGGGCTCTGCCTCTGAGTATGGAAATGTTTATGGAGTCTCCTCCGGCTATTCATTGCTTAATTGCCTAGCACCATTGGCTGCAACAGGATTTGGTTGGCTGTATGATAGCTTAGTTCAAAAATGCCCTCCTTGAAGTTATATGGTCCCTCAGAAATATGTTCTGTATTTGCATACCTTTGTCTATACTATGCTGATCCCATTTTTTAAACGTGTGCGTGTTCTAGCTTCACCAGATTGGCATCTAGTTCTTAGGTATAATCCAATGCTGCTCGCAGCATAGTCTTCTGTAGCCTTCACTCAGTATTTTCATCTAGCTTGATGGTGATGGAGGAGTGAAAGATATATCAGTTTATGAAGCTATAAATTGTGGTGGAATACAATTCTTCTACTGCTAATGGACTATAGTGCTTCGTAGAGACCAGTTTTATCCTGCTGGATTGGTTCTTAATCTATTTCATTGACACCAGATGTTCCACAGCCACCAGAGAACATGGGAAATTTGTTCCTGACTCTTGAAATGACGTTCTTTCCTGGGCCAATGTAAGTGAGTCATAGAGTCATAGAGCTGTACAGCATGGAAACAGACCCTTTGGTCCAACTTGTCCATGCCGATCAGATGTTCCATTTGCCAGCATTTGGCCCATATCCCTCTAAACCCTTCTTATTCATATACCCATCCAGTTGCCTTTTAAATGTTGCAATTTCACCAGTCTCGACCACTTCCTCTGGCAGCTCATTCCATACATGCACCACCCTCTGTATGAAAAAGTTGCCCCTTAGATCCATTTTAAATCTTTCCCCTCTCATCTTAAACCTATGACCTCCAGTTTTAGACTCCCACCACCCCAAGGAAAAGTCTAGGCTATTTCATCCTATCCATGTCCCTCATGATTTTAAAAACCTCCATAAGGTCACCCCTTAGCCTCCGATGCTCCAGGGAAAATAGCCCCAGCCTATTCAGCCTTTCCCTGTAGGTCAAACCTTCCAACTCTGCCAACTTCCTTGTAAACCTTTTCTGAACCCTTTCAAGTTTCACAACAACTTTCCTATAGCAGGGAGACCAGAATTGCATGCAGTATTTCAGAAGTGGCCTGACCAATGTCCTGTACAGCTACAACATGACCTCCCAACTTCTATACTCAATGCACAGACCAATAAAAGTAAGCATACCAAATGCCTTCTTCACTATCCTGTCAACCCGGGACTTCACTTTCAAGGAACTATGAACCTACACTCCAAGGTGTCTTTGTTCAGCAACACTCTCTGGCACCTTACCATTAAGTGTATAAGTCCTGCCCTGATTTGCCTTTCCAGAATGCAGCACTTCATATTTATCTAAATTAAACTCCATCTGCCACTCCTCAGCCCATTGGCCCATCTGATCAAGGTGCCATTGTACTCTGAGGCAACCTTCTTCTCTGTCTACTACACCACCGATTTTGATGTCATCTGCAAACTTTTGAACCATACCTCCTATGTTCACATCCAAATCATTTATATAAATGACAAAAAAGCAGTGGACCCAGCAATGACCCTTGTGGTCACAGGCTTCCAGTCTGAAAAGCAAGCCTCCACCACCACCCTCTGTGTTCTACCTTCAAACCAGTTCTGTATCCAAATGACTAGTTCTCCCTGTATTCCATGTGATCTAGCCTTGCTAAACAGTCTACCTTGCCGAACCTTGTTGAACACCTTACTCAAGTTCATATCAATCACATCCACCACTCTGCCTTCATCAATCCTCTTCATTACTTCTTCAACAAACATTGTCAAGCTAGTGAGACATGATTTCCCACACACAAAGCCATGTTGACTATCCCTAATTAGTCCTTGCCTTTCCAAATACATGTAAATCCTGTCCTTCAGGATTCTTTCCAACAACTTGCCCACCACTGATGTCAGGATGTAGAGCTGGAGGAACACAGCAGGCCAGGCAGCATCAGAGGAGCAGGAAAGTTGACGTTTTGGGTCGGGACCTTTCTTCAGAATCGGGGAGGGGGCAGCGAACTCAGAAATAAATAGAGAGAGGAAGAGTGGGGCTGGAGAAGGTAGATGCAATGGAGACAGGTGAATGCAGGTAGGGAGTGGTGGAGATTGGTCAGTGAGGTAGGAGGCCCAGATAGATGGGAGAGAAGATGGACAGGTTGTGTCAGGTCAAGGAGGCGGGGGTGAGAGGGAGGGTTGGACATGGCATGAGGCTGGGGGTGGGGAGATTTTAAAGCTGGTGAATTCCATGTTTACGTCATTGGGCTGTAGGCTCCCAAGGCAGGATATGAGGGTGCTGCTCCTCCAGTTTGTGGATATCATCATTGTGACACTGGAGTAGCCCAGGATGGACATATCACCCAGAGAGTGGGAGGGGGAGTTAAAAAGGGTTTGCAACCAGATGGTGTTGTCATTTGTCACATACAGAGCACAGATGCTCTACAAAACGGTCTCCAAGTCTTTGCTTGGAGTCACCGATGTAGAGGAGGCCACATCAGGAGCAGCGGATGAAGTAGACCAAGTTGACGGACGTGCAGGTGAACCCCTTTCTGATGTGGAAGGTTTGTTTTGTGCCTTGAATGGAGTTGAGGGGGAAGGTGTAGGGGCAGGTGTAGCACTTCCTGCAGTTGCAGGGAAAGGTGCCGGGGGTGACGGGGTTAGTGGAGAGTGTGGAGCGGATGAGGGAGTCGTGGAGAGAGCGGTCCCTATGAAAGGCAGATAGTGGTGGAGAAGGAAATAATATCTTTGGTTGTGGGGTTGGATTGTAGGTGGCAGAAATGGTAGAGAATTAAATGTTGGATGCCACACTCTAAATAAAGAAATTCCCCCTTCTCTGCATCCCAAATGGCCTGCCTCTTATTCTGAAACTGTGATCTCTGACCCTCAGCCCTATCTTCAACCAAGGGAAACAATTTTCCAGCATCAGCCCCGTCAAAACCCGAGTTTTGTTTATGTTTCAATGAGATCATGCCTTATTCTTCTAAACTCCAGAATACAAGCCCAGTCTCCTCAATCTCTCCTCATAAAACAAGCCTACCATTCCTGGAATCAGTCTGGTAAATATTCCCCTGCATTTCTTTTGTAGAAAATGTATCCTTCCTTAGACAGGAGGGACAAAACTGCACACAATATTTACAGGCGCAGAGCTACCAAGGTTTTATATAATTGAAGCAAGACACCTTTACCTCTGTACTCAAATCCTCTTGTGACGAAATTAAAAAATATAACAATGATTTAACTGTGAAATATGTACATTTTTCTAATGTTTTTAACATTATAGCCATATTTTGGCCAATCGGTTTAGGGAATTGGTTAGTCTGTATGACTCACCTTCTGCTTCTTATTAACCCGTCGTAATTAATTGCCCAGATGGAAGGCATGACAAATTCAAGTATGATGTATCCCACCGACCGTTATCTCATGGGGAACTCTGCCAATGGACAGGAATTGAGAGCTTTATAAGCAGATACCCACTCACAGGAAACTCCCTTGAATTACCCATTTAGACCACATACCTCTGTAAATTGCCTGTGTGCTGGAGGGACTGGGGAAAAGTCAGGTATCTGTCTAGGCATCTAACCTAACAAGAACGATTCCAGTGAGATGATGCTGGGGGTGGGGGGTTATTAATTCGTGTGACTTTATCAACTTCAATGCAAATCTTTGCACTGGCAGCCAATCAGTTGGATTTATCTAATCTCCAATATCTCCCATCACGTATGGATGACAGCAAAGTTCCCTTCTTCTGAATGTGGTGCTGCCCTTTTCGACCAAACATTCCCTCAAAAATAATTTCGACTTTGTTCAGTGCAGCAAAGGGGGAGGGGGGAGGTGGGAGGGGGGGTGCTGGAACTTTGGGCAATTCGTTGTATCCCCAGTACCTGCTCTCTCCTTGTAAAGGGGACAATCGTTCCAAGGTGCAAGAAATGCTAATCATTAACCGTGCCTTGCTTAAAGTTAAAGATGTTTGCTTTTTTTCTCACCAAAGTCGATAACTTTCTGAATGTTTTCCGCCTGACCACATCCACCAGTCACCTTCGGCTAAGGGAGAGCAGCGAATGGAAGGCAAAAAATAATCTCTTTGCTGCCATACTGAGAGGACTTGTGCAAATATTGATCTGATTTCGATTGGCGGTAGAACATCGTTATCAGTCCGTGCCCAGTGCTGTTCCCAGTGACGAAGTTCAGGGCACTGAATTGCTAAAAGGTACAGACAGGGCATTGGACTTCCTTTACCAGCAGAAAGCCCCAGCAGCGACAATGGAGACACAGGCTCAGAAGCACAGCCTGATAGACAAATGCAAATTAAAGAATAGATGGATCAAAGAAGGGCTCGCCGAATTTCTGGGAACATTTATACTGATTGTAAGTATAGCACTGCTGCATTTCTATGTGATGCTACAGCACCTTACAGCCGAGGCACCATACACAGGGTGAAACAGACTTTGCTGGACTTATGAAGTTATCTTTTTGCCGTCAAGTTGCATCCGAAATCCAGTGATGTTTCATTAAGGAGGAAATATTAAGTAGGAGCGTGCAAGTGTTGCCTTTTGCAAGGTGCGAGAAAGAACAGGCACTAAATTTCAAACAGAAAGCAAATTATGAATAAAACCGAACAGATCACTGTGCATTAATGATTTTTTGTTTTGTTATTGGAAAGAATAGAGCCAAAATTGCGGACTATGTATGCATTTAAAGCGAATTATTTCACCAGTAAGAATCATCTGGGGCACCATTCCTAGGTGTAACGGAATATTGCCAACAGCATAAAGAAAATATTTTGAAATCGTTTGAACGCGCATAACTGCTAGCTCTGCGGTCTGCCAGCACGTAATCAGATAACGGGAGCAAAATTCAGGGTCAGTTCAAGAGAGAACGAAATTGCATTTACATAGCGCTTTAAATCTTCTCAGGACGTCCCAACGCGTTTCACAGCCGGCAGACATACTGTTCTTTTTCTGTGTGAGCTATTCTTACAAAATCTTACAGCACAGAAGAAGGCCATTTCATTCATGAAGCCCGTGCTGATTCTTTCAAATAGTTATTCAATCAATTAGTCATACTCCCCTGCTCATTTCTCACCTTCACCAGCAACACTAACCACCCCCCCCCCCCCCCCCCCCCACTCCTCCCGCCACCCCCAGCACTTAAATATCTACCCAAGTCCTTTTTGGAGTTATTATTGAATTTGATCTCTCACCACCGTCCCGCGGTGCAACGCAGGGATGAGTTCTTGTATCACTAGCTTGGGCCCAGCAAGGTGCCGCACTTAGCACTAAGAGAACCATAAAGGGAAGGAATCCCGACAGAGTGTACCTGGCACCACTGCTTTTAACCCTAGTGGAAAAGACAATGACACATGTATGAGTTTTCCACCTAGTATCTACATTTCCAGCTGTGGCGGGTGAGAATGTTGGATTACATTCCTGATCAAATCACAGGGCTTTCTAACAGGACAGCCCCAGTCCTCTGCTCTCCAGTTTCTCACCCTTACCCTGCCCTTACTTTACAGGAATAAATGCAATGGGTGAATGTCCTCTGATTTCTAATTAATTTAATGGAAGCATCTGGTTCATGCTTAGGACCCTGTGCAGTTTGCATTTAGCGATGCTATCACTAATCTACCTGTCCTTAAAAACAGTTAAAGGTGATTTTTTAATATATCCCCCGCACCCCATCCCCGGTCCAAATAGATGCTGATTGATCCACTGTTTTGTTCTGACATTGAAGGTGGAGTTGGCATGGAGCTATGGAAGATCGCAATTTCCAAGATGTCTCTCTCAGTTGGAGACTATTTCCTATCAACCATTATCCTTGATGATACCCTGAGACCTTAGGCTGGAATTTGGTACAATATAGCAGTCACTGTATTTTAAAAGTACTTCATTTTCTGTAAAGTGGTTTGGGACTTGCTGCGATCATGAATGCCTATATATAAATGCAAATACATTCATTGATTCATTCTCTCTCTCTCTTTCATTCTCTCTTTATCTCTTTCAGCCCCACTTTTTTCTCATACTCTTTTTTTCACTCTTCCTTGTCATCTTTTAAAGGAGACACTAATTAATTTGATTTAAATGTGTTTTATCCTACATTAAAAATGGTAGCCACATTCATGTTGATATGTCAAATGTTTAACATTTCACAACCTTGTACACATTGAAGAGATTTTGTTACAACATCTTCCACAGAATATATTTTAAACAATAGCATTGTAAATTTTGCTCAAAATTCTGTATGTTGCAGCTATTTGGTTGTGGTTCACTTGCCCAATCAATACTGAGCAGAGGAGTAAATGGCAACATGCTGACAGTTGCCATTGGCTTTCCATTTGGAATCACCATAGCTGTTTATGCTACCATAGGAGTATCAGGTAAGTGCTGAGCATTATCCTGGATACTATGAAGAAAACTAGGGAGTTTAAAATGTTGTCACAGAAGTTAAATCTTCACTTTCTTACTGAATTATAGCTTCTAAACTGTTAGCATTACTGAAGATAACAGAGATAAAATGTTAATATTTGAATGCAGCCTCCAGCTTGGAGAACAGACATAACCCTCAGAATGTTAACAGATCCAGAAAGAAAAATTTTCCTTAACTAGCCAGTTTCTTATAAAATGTTCTGGTCATACATTCGCAATTTAGTAATAAATAACCTAAATGTTTCAAACAACTCAATGTATAATTAATTATTTCCAAAAAATACAGATCTAAAAGGCTAATTGTGAATAATTCGATGAATGTTCCTCTTGACTTCACTTATGACATTGCTTTCAACATATTAGGCAGTATTTTACTCTGCCTGTAAACTTTCCATGGAAGCTTTCCGAGTTATTGTCAGTTGGGCACTTGTATAGCATGACACCTGTGTGAACAACTGCACATCACCTTAAGCAATCAGTTTCAAGAATTTAGAAAGGATTTACAAGGATGTTGCCAAGGTTGTAGGGTTTGAGCTTTAGGGAGAGGCTGAATAGACTGGGGCAATTTTCCCTGGAGTATTGGAGGTTGAGGGGTGACCTTATAGAGGTTTATAAAGTCATGAGGGGCATGGATAGGGTAAATACACAAGGTCTTTTCCCAAGAATAGAGGAGTCCAAAACTTTAAGGTGAGAGAGGAAAGAATTCAAAGAGATCTAAGGGCAACTTTTTCACACAGATGGTGGTGCATGTATGGAATGATCTGCCAGAGGAAGTGGTGGAGGCTGGTAAAAAGGCAACTAGATGGGTACATGAATAGGAAGGGTTTAGAGGGATATGGGTCAAATGCTGGCAAATGGAACTAGATTTATTTGGGATGTCTGGTTGGCATGGACGAATTGGACCAAAGGGTCTGTTTCCATGCCGTATATCTCTATGACTCTAATTGTAGTTAACCAGAGGTGAAATCAATTCAGTAAAAAATCATGTACAGAAAGTAAAAAGAGAGGGCAAGAAAAATTGGATCAAGACAGAAATATAAGAGATTGAAAGACAAGTTGATCTAAAATCTAGAATCCCTACAGTGTGGAAGCAGACCATTTGGCCCGAATCCCCACTGCCCTCTGAACACATGCCAACCACCTACTCTATCCCTGTAACCCTACATTTCCCATGGCCAATCCACCTAGCCTGCACATCCCTGGACATTACAGGCAATTTAGTATGGCTAATCCACTTAAACTGCACATCTCCAACAATAATTAAAATTGGAAGGCAACAAAACTCCACACTCGTAAAGTTAATTTTCAGCATGAGGTAACTCGTTTGGCAGTAATTGAAACTACCATGCCATTGAACTATACTAAGACTGGAATGGGAAAGCCCTAAATTTCTGTGGTAGGTTTAAGGCTTCGTTACAATGTCTGTTCAGGAATTTCAATCTGTTCAGTATTTTTGAATTGAGTGCCAAATGGTGAGGTGCTTTTTTCATGCAGGTCATTCATGTTTGAAACATCTGAAATGACAACTTTCAGATCTTTGAAGTAATTCCACCTGGGAAGTTATGGAAGTTGTTGTCCAATATGCACAGAAATTAACCCCACTGTTAAATGTACGGCAATTCTTTTACAAGATTCTCATTATTTAACCAAATCCATCAATAATACCTATTCAAACCTTTTTTGATCTGAAAAAAAGAAAAACCTCACTTTGTTACAATTTCAACATCTTTGTCCCTGTTCCTGTTCAAAGTCCCTGTAGGCAAGAGCTCTCTGGAAGCCCACACCTTGCCTGTTCCAAAATGGTTTAAATAGAGTGAGTTACCCTTTGTCTTGAGTCATGTCAATGAAATGATGTACAAGTATGCATCATTGCATCCCAAATACTTTGATAAAATGGAGAACCATCTGCTGACAAAATGTATTTTCAGGCTGAGCTAAAATTCAATTTTGTTGAATGCTTATAAATGTACACAGAAGCAAAATAGAAACATAGTATTGGTCTTTCTTTCATACTTAAAATGCATTATCTGAAACTAAAAAGCTTGTGGAATTGTAGATTATTTTTCAGACTTCTTTAAATTTGACCTTGAACTAATTTTTCTGGTGCTTCGACTGTGGAGTTCAGTCCATTGCTAGGATATAACTTTGGTTCAGCTAAGTGAAATTTTAAAAACCAGCAAAAAGCTACAATGATTAATCTTAGTTTAGGCAACTTCTGATTTGTCAACAACAATTGAAAATCTACTACAATTGATGATTTTTTGGGAAGGAGACATCTAAACATCTTCTTAACAATCAGCTATCAATATTCATTCTTTTATTCTTTGTAACTGGGAATTAAAATACAACTCTTCTAGCTGTTTGATAAGCTCTGCCATACTTGAATCAAAACCAATGGAATATAATATCTACAAAAGTTCCTTGTCAAAATATCTTCAGATATCATCCACATTAAATACAGCATCTATTTCATTAATACATAGTTTCCCCAGTCAGAAATATACACTTGTTTTGCTGACAATTTCACTGCTAAAAGAGACAAAGGAAAATACATGTTACACTCCAATGGCTTTGACTCAAAAAAGGTTATCTTTTGTTACTTGGCTAGCTCAATACTTTAACCCACCTAAATTTCATAGGGAAATAATCTAACTATGTTCTTATGTAGACAGGATCTGCAATTGTCATATGATCCTGGTCTTTCTACCACTTGAAGGTTTCCAATCAATTTGTTCACAAGAGAAACTAGAAAATTAAGGCCATCTTTGGTGAAAACCACCACTAAAGTATGTTTTTATCATCAAATCAAAAGCATAAGGTGTAAAAATATGAAAGATCAATCTCAGAAAATGAAATCAAATTCAGAAGGATTGCCATTATCAAGTAAACTTGTTCAATAAGCAAGAAACGTGATCAAGTTATTAACTTTCACTAAGTTCACATGGAGGGTGAGAAGGAGTTCGAGATGCATTCAACCTGTTTGTTTGATTTTCAATGTGCCTTTTTGTGTTGGACTAACCCTGGCTATTTCTTTTAACAAATTCATTCAGAATGGTAGCTTAATTTACTCTACCGAGTGATGTTAAGATTAAAATAAATATATCATCTTTGCTTCGTCTCTGCAATTATATGGAGGCTCATCTCTGTTATGTAGAAAAGACAATCAGAAATGCAAAAGATTTAGAAGTGATTTTTGTGACCACCTTCATTTTGCCTCACATAAATGGTGGATTTATTCAGGTTTTGTTTTGAAGAAAATAGCTTATTGCAAGAAACTCAAATGTTCTTCAATATCTTCCCAATGTCACTCAATCATCAAAGTGTAAATGCTGAATTTTGTTATTGTTAGGTAAGGAGTGACATTTATTTGGTAAAAGATTTAGTTTCCCACACTGAGGTGAGGAGTAAATGGTTTAGAGGGTATCTGAAATGTGCTTTTTACTCAAAGGGTGGTGGAAGTATAGAATGTGCTGCTTGAGGATAGTGGAGGCAGGTAGTCTCACAACTTTTAAGAAGCATCTGAATGGAGAATCTAAAATGCCAGGGCATAGTACGCAATGGATCAAGTGCAGATAAATGGTATTCGTATAGTTTGGTGTTTGTTGGTCCGAACAGACGTGCTGGAAAGGGGCCTGTTTCTATGTTGTATGACTTTATTACAATTTTAACTACCTTGTTAACTAACTTTCTATTTTAATTCCAAACTACAGTCCATTCTCAGAGGGTTATGATAGTGATCTTTTCCTGAATATGTAGATCATTTGATAAAGACACACAGCTTTATCTTTTATGAATTATGATAAGTCCGCACCCATTAGATAAGTTACACAGTATAGAAATTACTGTGTGGACAGTTGTGAGTCACCTATCAGACAGGCAAACACTTGTGGGGACAATGTAACTCAGTACTTTAGCATGCTGTTCATTCACCTTTGGAGTTTATATCCAATCAATAGCAGCCCCCTTGCTATGCTGGCTCAAAGCCTCTTCAGTAATTATCCAATTCTTTACAGTGACAAACCCGAACACGTAAATAATTGTGTTCAGAGTCCACCAATAGAATATGCCTTTTCAAAATAAAATTTAAATTAATTTTCTTATGTACTTTGTATTCTTCTCACATTTCATTTCTCACTGTACATGCAGATCTTTATTTAGTTCTTGCCCTCACAGCAAGTTGGAGTTTAGTTTGTGACCTCTTCCCACATCTGAGAAACGGTCAGTAGGACTGTCAGCCAGTGCTCCATCCCTTTTTTTGAACATGATGTGAAAGAACATTTCCTTCCTGCTCACTTCAGATTTCTTTCACCTGTTGCAAGCCTTTAATACTCCTGACATGATGTATCATCTCCCATTAGTTCCATGATTTTGAGACTCCTTTTCCATGCTTTTCAGAGATCTGTCTTCCTTCAATAAATCAACAATTCACATGACTTCTCAGTATCTCCACAGTGTTTTTGCTCTATTTTTGAAACCCTAGTTATTAAACTTCACTTGTACTGTTAATACATGTATCAGAAATCCAAATTCAGCCAATGTTGAGTAACTTTGCATCAGCTTCTGTACTCAAGTTAGTGAAATTGCTTTAACCAGAGTTTTACAGGCAGGAGCAGTGGTAAATGAAGCTTTATAATGATTGTTGGGGGGTCGGTTGTGCTCAGTTGGCTGGACGGTTGGTTTGCAAAGCAGTGTGATGACGACAGCGTGGATTCAATTCCCACACTGGCTCAGGTTACCATAAAGGAATCTCCATCACAAACTCTCCCCCTTCCTCATGTTAAATCACCACCAGTCATCTCTTTCTAATGAGAGAGCAGCCCTATGGTCTGGTAAGACTGTGACACTGATTGTTAATTTGCATTTGTATCTAAGAAGGTTGAAAATGATTCAGCACATAGGCTTTGTTCCCCAATTAGTTTTGCATTTGTTGTAATGCATCAAAATTGCATTG